CTGGCTGCCACGAATAGGCAGGAAGATTCTATTGGCCAGCGTGAGAGCCAACACCTGACTGACACGAATGTTAACTAGCATGCTAGCTGCATTCGTCACAAGTGGGAAAAATTTAAATCTGCATGGCACTTTACTCCAATTGGCTCATTCGCTTGCTTAAACTCAACGTTGATTCTGATTCTGCAGAACTGGGCCGGGTGTGAAAAAGTATTTGTTGTTAACATTCTTTTTTCATTCGGTTTTTCCAGTTACGAGTCCTTTTTGAAAGCTGATCGTTTTGTGTTCATTTTGTTTAGTTCTTTCTTCGTAACAGATTTAATGTTTAGTATAGAGCTTCGAAAAAATTTGCAGTGTAAGATAGGCAAGAAGTAAGGCATGTAGCAACATCACCTCGGCAAAGGGCACTCCTTTAAAGACAAGGAAGGGCAAAAATATTTTAAGTCATGTGATAGCGATTGCTGTATGAGCCGTACGATTTTTGAATCAAGCACGAGCAACGCCGGGCCATGCTGCTAGTTTATTAATAGTTTTGTCAAATTTCGGCGCTTTGATATAAATGAGGTAGGTTTACGGACAAGTTACGTTTAAACACTTATTCTCGTCCGATCACCGAAGTTAAGCAACGTCGAACCTGATGGGTGACCGCTTGGGGTATACCAGGTGCTGTAAGTTTGGGTGTGCGAGTGGTGTAATGGATAACGGCTCAAAATTGGAAATTGAAGAGCTGAATTCAAAGTTCAATTGGGATCGTTATATTCACTTAGGTGCAAATACTCTTGAGAAATGTATGAATCTACCTCTTGCTTAGAGCTACGAAGAACAGGAAGTTGAGGAGAGCCATAATCGTATACATCCTGAAAGAGCGTGACTTATAACAGAAGAGGAATTTCTCTCTTTTTTTATATTAATTTCAAATAGAAATGCTTCACGGTTTTTGAGAATAGTTTTATTTTGCATTCTTTTATTCTCTTTCCGCTGGTTGGATTTTTATTTTTACGTTTTGATTCGATCGGCGCATGTGATTATATATTATTTGCCTGATCGAATCAACACTCAAAAGAAAATGTGTTTTTTTTTTTTTTTTTTTGTTTTTTTTTTAAGTTCTGGGATTAAACGAAGTTGAATGCTAATCTGCACCCGTTCTTTGACAGAATCAATATCAGCCTTACGCTTTTCTAATCTTCAGTTTTGTACTCTCCTTTGTGGCGAGCATTATATGTGAGCGCCTTTCATGTTTGCATAGGTCTGGAACAATGGGGAACAATGGTCTGAGTAAACACAAAAAACGTATATCATTACATGATAACATCTACACATATATCATTCCATCATTTTCTCTCCCTCATTTTCCCTCTTGATATCTGTGAAGTTTAGTAAAACTCAATATGAAATGGAAGGAAAGGGGATTAGAAAGATTATAATGCGTCATCATTCATTCGGGAGATTTGAGATTCAACATTCGAAATCTTGAAATTCTCCCTGATCTTGAAATATCTTTCACCACAAGAGATTTATCCTGGGTATGACGATAAACTACATCCGTCAGCGAAGCCTCTGATCGGCATATTGGTGGTTTTGAGTAGGGTGGAAACACCTCTTAACTGCTGTTATTCTCCGGTCCACCCTGACCCGTGGTGGTAACACTTGTTAGGATATTGAGCCCCCAGATTAAAATCAACATTACATTTTTATAATATAATTACCAACAGTACTTTTTTTAATAGTAAAATGACCAACAATACATTTTCATGGTAAAATTACCAGCAATACGTTTTTTAAAATAAAATGAACAACAATACATTTCTATAGCAATATGAAAACTAAAAAAGTGTAAGAATACATTTTTTATAGAAGAATTAACAGCAATTGTGTTTCCGTGATAACAGAGTGTAATGCATAAGGAAGACAAACTCGTAGGTAACTAATGAAATAAAAGGTTTACTACCCGAAGGTAAATTTAGAAATTGACCTAATGCTAACTCAGCATTTAACCAAGTCCGCCTCACAAGGCGGGATGTGGCACATGACCGGTTTAACGTGGGTCCTTTCGAGCCCATAGACCCGGGTAAAAATTCCCCGTAGACCCGTAATAACGGGGACGGGTTTGTCTAACTCCGTAGACGAGACTCTGCCCTTCGGCATAACATCGTCTGGCAGAGAGTTCGACAAGCACTAAGAACTTAGCGTGCGGCTATGACCTAATGCTGACTCTCCTCCTCACCGCTTAACTTCGCTTATTTACACAAACGGAAGATTCCATTCATTTATGTCCTATATGACAAATACATTTTTATAAAAAAAAATTACCAACAGTACATTTTATTGCCGCTATACAAAATCAGTAAAACAACCAACCATAGGAGACGGTTTCTTGAAATGTGTATAAAATATTTAATATGCATAATTTAAAAAAAAAAACGTATAATATTACATAGGATGTTACTTTGGATTGATCCAAATTTTCGGTCCTGTATAAAATACCAGAAAGTAGCCACCAGAATCTTGCTTACTATGTGAAGAACACAAGGTTCTTGGACAGGACTTGTGCGGTCGAAAATAATTGAACAAAAACAACACAACGATCTTCGGTCAGTTTTTCCGCAATATCTTATTTAAAAAATACTGTTGTTTGTTGAATGTAATAAAACTTACAATATATATATATATATATATATATATATATATATATATATATATATGTGTGTGTGTGTGTGTGTGTATATATATGTGTGTATATATGTGTGTGTGTGTGTGTGTGTGTGTGTGTGTTGTGTGTTTATTTGTACGTGTGTGAATCAATGGGATGAGTTATATGCAAATGACCCTGTCAAAAAATTTATCCATAATCTAGGGATGTGACAATTTTAGTGATGATGACCGAATGAACGGCCGAAGATACTAACAATCACGCTTTCTACTAATTCAAATACGGAAAATTCTTTCATTAATTTGCATCCACTAAACAAAGGTTAATTAGGGATTTACTAAGCGTAAATTAGTGATTTACAAAGCATAGTTTAGATGTGGTACAAGGCCGAAATTACTGAACACAGTGATACTCGAACTCACTACTCAGTCGCACTTGAGACAAACATATTTAGCATTATACCACGAATTACTAAGCCTATCTTAGATGTGGCACAAGGCCGAAAGTACGCAGCACATAGTGAGGATCTGACTCACAACGTAATCGTAATTAATATCTTATCTTGATAAGCTTAACCCTTACAAAGTGAACAATGTGACCAACACCAGACTGAAGCAGTCTGTTTTATGCTTCAACGCAATCTTTAGGTCTTGTGTGCTGCATTTTCACTATTTACATATGCTGGTCAGTGGTGCATTATTGGTAGTAAGGTCTATAAAGTCGATTATAAACAATAACATTCATAATGCAACACTGCAACACACACACACACACACATATATATATATATATATATATATATATATATATATATATATATATATATATATGAAGTAGACGACGAGGTCAACACTGAGTGACGGATGCCGAACGATATATATATATATATATATATATATATATATATATATATCGTTCGGCATCCGTCAGTCTCGGGAGACGATGGAGTAGCACTTATTCTTTCTTTTTTCCCCCAAAAAATTCTAGGCGATGAAGTTACATCGCCTCTGGTGACTGTGTAGTCTCACTCTAGAGCGGCAGTCTCTTAAGCCCTTGGCGCAGATAAAACTGGATGACACGGAGACGGGGACTGTCCTTGATTTTCTCCTGGCTCTCTTTGCTGTCTGCTGATCTTCCCTCGCAGCTTCAATAATCGTGACGCCGTCACTGACTATGGCTCTCCAAAGCTGATGATCGTCAGGTTTTGGGGTCGATGTTGGCCAGCTTCATGTCTCGTTTGCAGACATCCTTGAAGCAGAGCTGAGGTCTTCCAGTTGGGCGGGACCACCAACACAGCTTTCCATACAGAATGACTCTTGGGATGCGGCCGGCACACATGCGGCGTACGTGCCTCAGCCATCTGAGATGTCTTTGGCAGAGCAGCGTGAACAGGCTGGGGATGCCGGCACGTTGGAGGACCTCTCTGTTAGTGACCCAGTCTTGTCACTTAATGTGCAGGAGACGTCTGAGGCAGCGGAGGTGAAAGGTGTTTAACCTCTTCTCCTGAATGGCGTAAGTTGTCCAGGACTCGCTGGCGTACAGAAGGGTGCTGAAGACGGAGACTCAGTAGACTTGTAGTTTGGTGTTCTCCGTCAGCTGGCTGTTGTTCCAGACACGCTTGTTTAGCTTGGCCATGCGGCGACTTTCCCTATCCTGGAGCTGGAAATGATCGACCCGAGGTAGGCGAAGGAGTCCACAACATCGAGGTGCGTGCCGTTAATGGCAACGTCCGGGGAGGAGGCGGTGTCTTGTGCCAGGATGTTCTTTTTGAGGCCGATGGTCAATCCGAACTCCTTGCAGGCATGGGCCAAGCGGCTGACAAATTCTTGCAAACCGTTCTCCGTGTGGTACGTCAGCGCGGCGTCGTCGGCAAACAGAAAAACAGCAACCTCACGGACCTTGGTCTTAGCGCGCAGTCGGGCGATGTTGTAGAGTTTGCCGTCTGCTCTAGTGCGGATGTAGATGTCCTCCGTGCAGTCGCAGAAGGCGTACCAAAGAAGCATGGAGAAGAAGATCCCAAAGAGTGTCGGCGCGAGGACACAGCCCTGCTTTGCGCCGCTGCTCACAGGGAAGGCGTCAGATGTTCCGCCGTTGTAGCAGACTGTGCTGTGCATGTCCTCGTTGAAGGACTTGACCATCTGGAGCAGTCTTGGGGGACATCCTACCCTCCTCTCCAGGAGACCGAAGAGTCCGCTTCTGCTTACCAAGTCGAAGGCTTTCGTCAGGTCAATAAAGGTGATATACAGTGGTTTCTGCTGCTCACGGCACTTCTCCTGCAAATGGCGCAGCGAGAAGACCATGTCCACTGTAAAACGGCCCGCCCTGAACCCACACTGCGACTCGGGGTACACACGGGAGGTGAGACTCTGCAGGCGTGGCAAGATGATGCGGGCAAAGACTTTCCCGACGACGCTGAGGGTGACAATGTTGGCATCTCGCATGTCTCGGAGGGCGTGGTCCTTCTCCCAGTACAGGTACAGGACCTCGTGGAGTTATTCAACAGAGCCGGCTTGCCACTCTTCAGAAACTCTGATGGGATCCCGTCCCTCCCAGGGGCCCTCCCGCAGGAGAGACAGTCGATGGCTTTTCCGTGTTCCTCCGCAGAGGACGGAGCATCCAACTCCTCCATGACTGGGAGACTAGGCAAGGCATCCAGGGCGGCATCTGTTACCATGTTCTGGGTTTCATACAGCTCCAGGTAGTGTTCCACCCAGCGCTCCAGCTGCTTGCCCCGGTCCGTAATGACCTCTCCTGTCTTGGACTTCAGCGGAGCCGTCGTAATAGGAGTGATGCCTGTGGCGGTTTTGATGCCGGTGTACATGCCTCTTGCGTTTCCACTGTCGGCAGACGTCTGGATCGTGCTGCACAGGTTCAGCCAGTAGTTGTTGGCGCAGCCGCGTGCAGTCTGTTGCGCCCTGCTACGAGCAACTCTGAGGGCATCGCGGGTATTGACGCAAGGGTTATGCTTGTAGGCCAGAAGTGCCTGTCTCTTGGCTTCAGAGACCGGCTTCATCTCATCCCAGTGAGCTTCGTACCAGCCCGCATTTCGACGATCCTTCTTCACGAACGCAGTAAGGGCTGAGGTGTATATTGCATCACAGAGGTGGTGCCATCTACTGTCGATGTCAGTGGCACTGAAGGAGGATGTGTCGACCTTCGCGCTAAAGGTGGTTTGGAAGCGGCGAGAGCTCCCAGGGTCATTGGCGCGACAGCTGTTGATGAGAGGGAGGCCCTTGGTTTTGGAGCAGTCTATTCTCTTGGCTGTCAGTCTCACTTTGCAGCCTACTAGGGAGTGGTCCGTGTCGCAGTCTGCGCTGTGGAAGCTCCCAGTGTGAAGAACGATCCTTAGGTCTTCACGCCTGGTGATGACAAGGTCGAGCTGGTACCAGTGTCGAGAACGGGGGATGTCTCCAGGAGATTTTGTGGCGTTCTTTGCACTTGAAGTAGGTCTTCGTCACGCACAGTCCATGGAGGCAGCAGAGTTCCAGCAGCCGCTGTCCATTCTCATTCATCTTTCCCATGCCTGACGGCCGAGGCAAGATGGCTAAATGTCACTGTCGGCTCCCACTCTGGCATTGAAGTCTCCCAATAGGTATAATCCTTCAGTATCGGGGTTCCTGGATATCGTCTCATCCAGTGCCTCATAAAACCTCTGGGGTGGCGCAGAGCGTTGGCGCGTAGATGCAGAGGACGTTGGTGAAACCCGTAGATGTTAAGAGGCGCAGTAATAGGGATTCTCTCAGATCCGCCAGTTGGCGGTACAATGGCTGGTATCAGCGAGTTCTTCACGGCGAAGGCCTACGCCGTGTTAGCTTAGGTCATCCTGAGGCAGCCTCTGCCAGAAGAAGGTGTTGTTGGCATCTCTGATGGAACCGCTGTCAGCCAGACGAGTCTCTTGCAGGCAGGCGATGTCATTGCCCAGCCTTGAGAGTTCCCTGTCTATGACCGCTGTCTTTCGAGCATCGTCGATCTGTTGGATGTCATCTGCGAGTCCAGAGCGCATAGTCCGGACGTTCCAGTTAGCAAACCGAAGAGCTGGAGACTTCGTCTTTCTTACTTTCCTGCCTGGTGCGGTATTTACAGCTTGCTTGTCAGGAGGATCCGTCCCTGAGCCCTACACACCCAGTAGAGCAGGCAAGCTGTGGAGGGAAAGCACCTTACTGGCTGGGGGCTGCCCAGTTTGAGGCGGGCGGTAGCTGTCCAGTGAGATGCGATGATCTCTCCCACCGACGGAGGTGATCCCAGGCGCCCGTAACCTACGCCAATCGGTTTGAGCTTTTAACCTGTAACTGTCACTTCCTGTGTTATGCCGATGTCTTGCGACGTCGCTGTGGGTGTCCTCTCAAGTGCGCTACGAGCCTGGGCGAGATGTATGGAGAACTAGGACTGCCCAAACGTCTAGTTTCCCCTCTCAGCCTTGCTAGAAGTGTCCAAAGGAGAGGATAAACCAATGCGGTTTGGTACCAGCGCTGCTGCAGAAATTGCCGGAAGGTAGCACAGAGTGCTGTCCATCCGCCTTAGGGGCTCTTCTTCAGATTTGTGTAGGGTTTACTCCTTGGCCTTTCCTTCTCCCGAAGATTTCCACAAGGCAGTGGAACTATTTAACCCATACCTGGGGTTTGATTCATGGGCAACAGGGCATTTCCACACACCGATGGGCCTGCATGCCGCATGTTAAGGGGGTCATCTCCTCCTCCGTCCCCTGTAGTTTAGCCCGAGTCCGCGAGTTGCCATGTGTTGCCACGAAGAGGCACTACATAGGGCTTGCTGATGGAGAGGTTATATACAGGCAGGTGTAGACTTACGCACTCGGCTCCCCTTTTCGCATTTCTGCTAGCCAGCGGCGGTAACTGAAAGCGAGAAGCGACAAGCACTACCACTACAGACTACCACACTAGACGCATCACAACAGCCGTTGAGACACACACACACACACACATATATATATATATATATATATATATATATATATATATATATATAGTCAAGCCATTACATAATACACATGACATACATGCATAAAATAGGGAACTGCAATTTGTTTAACTTCCACTTTTCTATGTACCTATGCTCCATCTCTGATAGTGATCACTTTTACCACTAACTGCAGAATACCATAAAACTAGATTTTTATCATATATATATATATAATGGATATTTTATAATCTGACAGAGGTTTATCACTTTAAACGTTATTTATAGTGGTTTCTCCTATATGAGTAGACGTTCCGTTTATTTATTAAACAATATATTTTATTTATTTTCGTTTACCGGCCTAGATGTTCGCCAAAGTATTACTGAAGACGAATCCTGCTAGAGAGCATAAACTTTTCTCTAATATGTTTTCTCGAACATTTTGACGGGTAAACGAAAATAAATATACTGTTTAATAAATAAACGCAACGTCTACTCAAATACGAGTATCCCCCCAAAAAATAACGTTTAAAATGATACTTATATACATACATAATAAACAACTTGAGACATTTGTAAAAATCCTGTGATTTTTTTTTATTGCCGTAAAAATATCTAATATAAAAATACATAAAAGTTTGTAGTCAGATATATGCTTGTCCATATTTAGGTAATGTTTATTGGTCATGCGAAATTGATAAAAAAAATTGTTGAAAAATTTAATAGATTCATCTTTTTAAAATTCACCAAAGAGCAAAGTGTTCATGCACAACTTATTCTGTTATTGTTTGATAAAAAATAATGTATTGTCGTTAGTAAATAGAATCATTTTGGCGCCTAAATATCAACTGACAAAATTTCTTTTCTTTTTTTTATTCATAGTATTTATAGGCTCCAAAGCGTTGTTTATTTTCTATCATTTATTTCTTTTTTTATTGGTTGAAAACTTTTGCTCGCTTTGTGCTGATTGGTCAAGAGATTTTATTTCTATGTTTGACGAGAAAAAATTTTCCTCTTTTGATCCGATGTTATTATTAGTCCTTTTTTTTTACAAAAACGAATTCTGCTTATTTGCTGTCTCGAAGCGATAGGTTTCCTTTGGGACGATATATGCTAAACGAATAGTTGAAAGCGCTCAATCAAAAGTATTTTACAGTCGTTACAATAACTACAGATCAAAGTTCACTTGTACGTAAACATATTTGGCTACGCAAAAAAATAACGAAAAAGAATCCTTTTATGTGATCTCCAACCAAACATTTATTTATAAATATATGTGCATTCGAAGTGATTCAGTGCCGTTGGCAACTTTTGTTCGATATAGTGTTATTTGATTCATCTATGTCTGCATTATTCTTAAAGATTTTCCGGGAATTGAAATATTCGGTGATTTACATTATTAAATAATAAATCGTCCGATAAATGATACGCCACTTTACGTTGTAATTTCTTTTAACATCTAATGAAATGAGACTAATTTAATTCATTGAAACAATTAAGCAAATTAATAAGCTTATTTCCTCACTGATGCTTTTATTTACCTGCTTATTCTGACATAAACAGTAATGGGCAACCAGACGATATTGTTAACTATTACACAGCGAAGAGGCGAAATTTACAAAGCTTAGCTTAGTTTGGCACAAGGCCACAGATCGGAGGCTCAGTAACGATTGAAATTCCCTAATCAGTGTTAATGATTATGTGAACATTTTTCGAAAATTTTGTGTTAATCAATAATCATCTCCCCTTGTTTTGTTACACTCCTCTTTGAGAGAGCTATTTCTGTTTACTGGGACTATAAAAGGCCACTATACGCCAACATTATATTCTCAGTTGACTAAAGCTTTCTTAAAGTCTACACCTACGTACTTCTGTCATTAAACATTGTTTTCAAACAATTATTTGAAAACAATTATTCGAATTGTAAATTGTTTGAATGAAAATTAATCGAACAGTTTTCTCGATACAGTGTATATAGTCAACCGAACTGTCTTGCTCACCATTACCCGACCCTGAGTCGCCATTTTACTAAACTTATTTTAGTCAGGCATAAGGCCATTAGTTTAGGACACAAAGTATGAATCGTACATATTATTCATTAATAAAAGCCAACCGGACTAACTCGTTAACGATTACTCACTTCTGGATCGCCTTTTTACAATCTTACCTTAGATTGGCACAAGGCCACCATATTAAGCAATGAGTGTGAATCGTACTCACGACTCAGTACCAATGGTCAAATATACTAGCTCATTAACAATTACCCTTTTTATAATCTTAGCATGTCCACATGTATATGGCACTCAGTGAGAATGGCACTCAGTACTTAACTAGTAATACTCAACCACACTAGCTTGTTAACCATTACTGAAGGATCATTTTACTACGCCTTTATTTGTTCACCAGTCTAACACACTCAGTGAGCTTCATTTTCACTACTCAGTTGTAATGGCCAACCATTTAACATTACCAATTCCCATGGCGCCATTTCACTGACATTAGATTGAAAAAAGGTCACAAGCATGAGACACCCAGTGAGGATCGTATTCACTATTCAGCAATAATGGTCCACCAGACTAGCTCGTTAACCAATACTCGATCCTGAGGCTTCCTTCTACTTGGCAGTCTTGCGTATTTTTTCTTTCTGCTTATGAATGAAACGGAAGGATTCTTTTAAAAAAAAATATCGGAGAACTTGTTTTCATCCGAATATTTTCTTTTCGATTCTGTCTACAATCATTTTTTTTTTCGTTCTGTAACTAAAAATGATTTTCCTCAAATGATAAAATAAATCTTCCTTTTATGAGCTTTTAAATTTTACTTCTCTAGTAAAAAAAAAAAAGGTAGTAAACATCCGTTTTCTGATTTTTTTCCCTTTTACAGGTGAACAAATAAAGTTTTGTAAACATCTTTTACAAGCAGGACTCATGGGAATACTACTGAACAATTTTTTCCAATTTAAAAGGGGAACACTAACTAATAAAGACCCGTGCAAAAGTTTGGGGTCGACTATATCAATTATTATACGTCTTTATTTTATTAAGAAGTTAAAATTTTATCAAATTGTGGTCCTTGATGATTTGAAAATAATTTGCTTCATTTTTCGTAGGTACAGTGTAACAGAAGACACACCGTTTTGATCAGCTTAAAGTTAAAAAAAAGGCCTAGTAAAACTATTGGACGAATGAAGGATCTGAGATGATAGTTATGATAATATGAAAATTTCCGACGTAGGAATTGTTCTCATTAATTTGAGTGTAAGGTGTGTTTGTAAGTCATTATAATTGAAAATTAACTTGATTAATTTATATTAAAATTATGCTTAAAATATCTGCTGAAATAAAGATGAAGATTGTGATTTTGAAAGGGGGAGATAACTCCACGAGAGATAGCCAAGCGGCTGGGAATGTCTAAAAGTAGTATTCAAACGATCTAAATAAACATTCGCTACTACTGAATGTGTTTTACGTGCAAAGAATATCTTAAAACGAAATTTAAACTAGAGAGATTCAAGAAAGATTGTAAGAGTCGCGGTAAGCAATCCAAAATTAACAAACTGACAATTTGGGATTGAATTCAGTTTTGACACTGGGACCTCAGTTATGCAAATTCCTAAGCAGGAATTGTTCTTTACAAGACGCACTTTTTTCCTGAAAAATACGTGTGCGTCTTTCAACGTCCAGGCTCAAGTAGGCTTGAACGGTCATCCAATTTCAGTTCGAAATTCCAGTCACCTGAAGAAGGCCGGAGCCTACAAGGACCGAAACATCGTGAATATGGCAATAAAAATGAGGAAAGTAGTCCGAACAATGTAATTAATACATTCGAATAGCCAGAAAGTTTCATGGCTGATATCAGAAAATTGAATTTAAAAATTGTGCAGAGAAACGGAAGACTTATGTGGAGTAGAGAAATTTAAATTTATAACACGTCATTTCCAATGAAAATTCTAAATATTTTTTCTTAAATTCAAAGTAACTTCTAACCTTGACTATGTATAGTTAACAGGGCGAGAGAAAAATTATACAATTCAGTTTCGAAGTGTCAGAACTTTCATGACTGATATCAGAAACTTGAATTTAAAAATAAAAACTTTTTTTTGTTAAACTAAGTATAAATATTTTAAAAATATAGAGAATAATGGTTTCACTTCTCTTGTCAACCAAAACCAAATGCAGAACAATTTCCATATACACACTAATTTGCATATATACAGTAATTTGCATATCTACCTTACATACTTGCACTACAATAAAACATAAATAATTGTTTCTTTTATTGCAAGCAATAGTCAATGTTGAAAATCCTCTTTTGTTATGATCCAAGTCGAGATTCCCAACATTGTTTTTTCCCCAGTTTGTTTTTCGCCTCCCTTTTTTCATCTCGACTGGGTCAGTCTTTATGATTCACCCATGCCCATGTTTATTTTATCCTTGCCTCTCCCTTAGAGAGAGAGAACCTCTTGATTTTGTCTAAAGATAGAATACAGCGGCCACTCTGATTTTTGACGGGTGAACGGGTCCTACTAACATCGATTGTTTTTAGTTTGTGTGTTTTGTTGTATTTTAGTTGTTTTCGGGTTTATTCTCTCCCCCTCAATTCATATCATCGATAACTTTTTATAAATTTATACGCAATTGTACATAAAGAGATATTGATGTCATACGGTGTATTGTAGATTCCCTGTGTGTGTGAGGTATTTTGGTGTATGTAGGAGTGAATGGTGACAGATAGACTCTTATCGTGAGTAAACTGTAATGTATGGATGGCTTGTGAATCTGATTAGCGTGGTATAGAATAGTTAGTGTTGACCAGCCTCAATCTATTTGTCCATTGTTTGGCCTTCTGCCACAATTACTGTATCTAGTCAGTAATAAATAACAGTCAATCTTATTTCTTTTAAAGACTGAGTATCAAATTCCTTTGCAAAATGATAGAATTTGTTTATTCAAAATTTATAATAAGATGAACATGAACATCAATGATATTTTATATATATTATATATATATATTTATATATATATATATATATATATATATATATATATATATATATTTATTTAGGTTTTAAACGACTGTATTCAAAAGATGGGTACTTTGCCATCGGCCAAGATTGCAATGTAATCCTTATTGCAGACGTCAGGCACATTTTCAACACCCATAGAGTCAATCTGTAATCTATAGTGCAACTATGCTAAGGGGGCCTTATTACAATTTGTTTGAGAGAGCACAAAATCTGACATGAAAGTAGTTGAACAAGGTTAGCATGCTTGCTCACGAATCCATTGCTAGCACAACCATTGACGCATTTCGAACAATCTCCTCCATCGAATTTTACTCACAGGATTCGGGTCAAACCGAAGATGATTTTTAGGGGTTTTTTTTCAGCGCTGTCGCACGTTGAGTGATTTATTATTTTTATGGCTTATCAACCTTTTGTAGGTTATCTAAATCCAGAAAATATCTGTAGATTGTAAGAAATCTTTGGATATAATTAAGATTTATTGATGCAACCCACTCAAAGAAAAAAAGAAAATGTGAATTCCAACCTTTCGCGTAAGTGAATATCCATTACACCATCCGCACATCCAAGTTTGCAGCATCTGATATTTCCAAGTGGTCACCCATCTAGGTACTGACTAGGCTCGACGTTGCTTAACATCGGTGATCGCACGAGAACTCGTGTTTTTGAACGTGATATGGCCCTAAACCTGCCATACAATATAGTCTTTCTCTATTATTAAGAAGTCAATTATTTGAGGAATCCAACCTGGTGATATTCGAACCCGGCTCTCATATTTGAAACGCTAACGGTTCATACGCGTTGCCAAGCCCTCCTCTAAAGGGATATGGTGAATATAACAATCATTAAATCTTTTGTGAGTTTAACTTCAACTGATTTGAACTTCGCCACCGTTTATAACTATGCAGAATAGTTTTCAATATATCATAAAAGGAAGCGATGATTTGTTTTGAGTTTGTAAATCGATGTTTTGTTTTGAACTTTTTGTTATGACCTTCTCTCTCTCTCTCTCTCTCTCTACATTCGTAACTCTAACTGCACAACCATTCCTTTGAATTTCAATCATTCAAATCAAAACTTCTGCTATTCAGACGTTCACGAAATCAAAAACGGAAAATAAAAATTAACCACTAAAAATGTAATCATTTCTTTTGTTATTTTTCTTTTTATGACATTACTTTTTTTTACTTCATCTAGGAGCACCTCTCCAGTAAATGTTAAATAAAACTCGAGTATTTATCACCTTTTCAAAGAGATCGCAATTCCGTTAGTGTGATAATATTTTTTTTCAATTTCTAAGATTGTTATCTCAGACAGAATCATAAATATTCTCGTTTTAGTCTGTCATCAGAATTGAAGTAATTATTCGGTTATCATCCAGATTCTATCTTATAATAACTCGATATCATTTAACTTTATTTTGCCCAAAATATTTTCTATAGAATGTGAGTATTATTATTTTTTATTAAAAAGTATATTTATTTATTTTCATCTAAAGACGTGGATATTTCAAAAAAACTTATTAAAGCAAAATATTCGTAAAGCACAATTCGGTTTTGCTTTATCAGCGACGCCATCAACTTGGCCGGGTCGTTCTAAAGCACATCGGATCTAACGACTGTTCTACACACACACACATATATACATACAGACACACACACACTTTCTCTCTCTCTCTCGCATATACACACACACTCATATATATATATATATATATATATATATATATATATATATATATATATATAAAAGGCATATAAAAAAGCAAGAAAAGGCAAGTGTGCGTGTGTGTGTAACGAATGCACGGCCGCAATTCTTGACGGATTTGCACCATAATTTATATGTACATAGTCCAAGTTAGTGGAAAGTCCAAGACTGACGTTGCATTTCCCAACTCCCAGAAGCAGAGTAGTAATAAAATCGGTAACAGAAATTAAGTTGTATAAAACAATAACCGCTCACATACTTGAGGGATCGAATTCCAGTCGAATCCATTAAATTCACTTACGTGCTAATACTCTTGGGAAACGTATGAATACTCTTCTTCACCCCCAGCTATGGGTAAATAGCAGGACAGTCAGGATTCTAAAGCCTTGGATGGCAACTGGTCTACTGCAGAAAGAAATGGCAACATACTGCGGGAATTAATCTGCCTCGACAGTTATGTATCGAATGATACTTGATCATCTTAGCGTGTATCACGCGTGGCACATAACTGACTGAATGTCTACACACCCACCCACCGATATATATATAAATATATATATGTGTGTGTGTGTGTGTGTGTGTGTGTGTGTGTGTTTAGGCAGCAAATTCTCTTTTAGACATGTCTGACTGAATAAATTACAGACATTATGTCTGATAATTTTTAACAAAATCCGTTCATACTCACGAATAATCTTCCGTGTATTGATATTAAAGTATGAGAAAAAATGTGGTATAGCTGTTTAAATTTCTTTTATTTTAATTTTTCAAGTACTTTCGATCTTCTTCCAAGATCATCTTCAGGAGTGCAAGTAGTACAAAACTGTATGTTGTTCATTAGTATAATTATTAATACAGAGTTGTACGGTGTAATCTATTACAGTATTTTTTCTTATTATATATATATATATATATATATATATATATATACTGAGGTGGGTAAATCAAACAATTAGATATTAGCAACCGTATATAAATATAAAACTAAATATGTTGATGCACTAAACAAAAGTAAACGCCACATTAGAGTACATTCCCAACACTAGAAAGCTTTCCAATAGTAAACGTAAAAACAGAAAACGCAATATAGTTTGGTTCAACCTACCTTTTAGCAGTATTGTCAGAACCAGCATCACTAGGATTTTCCTAAATTTAGTACACAAACATTTCAGCCATAATCCTAAGAACAACATTAAGATTAGTTACAGCGGCAATAGAAACCTTGACCAATATATAGCACAGCATAATAGCGTAACTCTAAACAAATACTTAAGAAACGCTAATAGCAATGTTAACAATGAAAATAAAAGTGTAATTGCCGTAGAGGCATTATCTGCCCGATGAATAACAAATGTATCTATAAAGGAGATATCTATAAGGCTAGCATTACGCACGATAGTGTAACCAAATTTTATTTCGGCTCAGACGCAAATAGCTGGAAAACGAGATTTTATCATCACAAAATGGCCATTAACAATAAGAAATATGCAAATATTACCGAGATATTAGAACAGATCACTGCACACCGGTAGTAAATTGGGATTTCTTCGTCAAAATCACACCCTTTTCCAGGCGAGGCAAACGATGCAACATGTGTTTACTGAAAAAAAAGATTCATCCTCCAAAATATTAATAATTTAAGTCTGCTTAATAAACAAAATGATCTCATGCTAGTCTGTAGTCATAAAAAGAAGTTTCTCTTAAAACATTTCGCTTTCACATACCATATTTTAGGTTATATACTGATTAACCCTCTTTAACGATTTTAACGTATAATTCCACTTAGCGTCAACCAGCGTTCCTCCTTTAAATTTTAAACATATTTTTAATTTTTTTAATGCCCCCTTTATGCACCCTAAGTCCCAGTATATATATATATATATTTTAAATCATAAGCTATCTCGTGCCTTATGAGTTGGTAAAACCCCGTCGGACAGAACATGATTTTTACCTATAAATCTCAGTAGACATTTCTGCACTGATTCATGGTTTATTAAATTGACATCTGTGATCGAAGTGTATCACATATAACGCCATCTTTAGTGCTGAAACGCATAACTCACCAACAGTGCAGTGCTCACATCCACTATTTGGTCGCCATGGTGGATGAATTTCAATGAGTGCATTTCTCCCCATGGCAGACATGAACTACACACCGCTTACGCATAACTTCTCACTTTCCGGCCTTAACAGCGTCTACTTGGCCTTGTGGGTGATAAATTATTCCATTCTACAATCTATCGCTACTCTAACGGTATTTCCACGGCAAGTGATCTGATGAATAACATTTTTTAGTTCCACCATTTCAGATCTTTACAGCTTAGACCCACCATGCCACGCATACAGAGTCGAATCATTCTCATTATCTTTTTATTCCTTTGGTAGGAAGGAAGTTCTATTGAGACAGTTTCTTCCCTCAAAACAGTATTGTATTGAAAACATTTTGTGCGAAGCTGGTTTCCCAATCAACATCTCTACCAGATTATCTAATGGAATACTGGCCCGTTCTTCTAGGGATGAGTCAGTGGCCAATCTGTCTCTGACTACTTAGAGCGCCTCCTCCGTGGGTAACTTGGTGAACAAAGTCACGACGTCAAAGCTCACCATCTGGTTGAATATGATGAGGGCATCTTAGATGTTGACTATCTGTACACAAACAACACACTTCGGAATGGGATCACACATATATCGACAGGATGAGGGCTTAGCAATGGGCTCGCCATTATCACCAGCAATGGCGAATATATACATGGAATAGTTTTAGGAAATGGCATTAGAATCTATATCTCTAAAGCCAACTCTGTTTCACGACGGAGAAAGAGAGTAACACACTCCCATTCCTGGATGTTCTAATATCTCAAACAAAGCATGGTTTCAAGACATCCGTATACCGCAAACTGATATTCACTGGACAGTACCTCAATTTCAACTCCTACCATTCATAGAGCGTAAAGAACACCGAGCAAGTCATAAGTGGCGACCCAGAGACATTAGATAAAGAATTGGTCAGTATAAGTAGTACCCTACAACGTAACAACTACCCTGGGTACATGGCAGTACCCCAATAAACTGGGATAGGCGGGTACAAGAGGAGGAAAACAACACTCAGAAATAGCCTACATGCCTGCCTTATGTGAAGAGGTTTTAAGAGAAAATACAAATCATCTGCGGTCCATATAACATCAGGACAACCTTCAAAAGCTGGACGATATTTCGCAGATATCTCTCTCGAGTAAGAACCCCCAATGAGGAGAACATGGATAACGACTGTGTGTACCCCATCCCGTGCAGCTGCGGAAAGAAATATAAAGGGGAGACAGACCGTGCCCTTAAGGTAAGACTTCAAGAACACCAGAAAACTGTAACACGAGGGGAAGTGGATGACTACATATGGAGAGAAAAGGGAGATCAGCGCACTCTGTGGGATCAGGTTGAAATCATAAACAACGAACATCATTCGTAAATTCGTAAACTTAAGGAATCAGCACATATGCTAGGCCACAAAAATCTCCTGAGCCGACCAAGCATAGAAATGAATACAATATAGGAACCAGTTATAAGGAGTGCTAGAGAAAAGCGATAATAACAACGAAAATTGCAATATGTGCTCTTGTAAAAACATGGAATGATAACAGCAAAAATATGAGCACTGGTAAAAAAAAGTTGCTGAAGACATTAGGTTTATAACACCCAGAAATTCATACACTGATGTCCCCAAGAACACATGGCACAGTGGATAAAAGCGTTAGTTAGAGTGTGAGTTCAATACCTGGCTAAGGCGGTGGAGAACTTGGAGAGGGGAATTAACAGGAGATAACTGACGACATCCATTAGACATGGCACGTGGAACTAGAACAGTCTACCCAAGTGAACGAAATAAAGAGTTCAGTTTGACATTCCAACCACCTGAAGGTCGGAGCGTACAACGGCCGAAAACGTTGTGATAAATATGGCAACAAAGATGAGGACAATAGTCATATA